CTGGGTAGAGCATGTGTTTATATTTACTGTACGTTATGAGGGCTTGGGCACATGCCACCCCGCTGTTTCACTCTGGGCACCAAAGTCTCACTCCACCCAGCTCCAATTAAGGAGCACAAGGAGCTGTTTGATTCCCTTTATAAACCCAACATGACAAATAACTGTATTGTATATTGTTTGATCCCCCCCCCTTCAGCTACTCTGTACAGCACACCACCGCTGTGCCATTGACTGCTCTGTGTTATGTCTGTTCTGAGAAAGTAATGATTTGTATAGACCATTGCTAACGAAATGTGAATTGTAAGACTTCTGTGAGGTTGGGCCGTAGCCAAGGCGAGTGGAGCTTGGGCGTTGTGAGAGTTGGAGAGGGGTACTGGGTTTATGGTCGGGGTGGTTTTGGAGAAGAGGTTTTAGGCTGAGTTGTTTAACTCAGATAATATTGGATATTATCCAGCACAGTGGGCCAGGGAGTTAAAAACCATATTGTGCTCGCTGAAATTTGGTAGGAGGGGAACTGGAGAGTAACTGCTGCTGAAGTTTTTCATTGGATCAGTGCAGGCGTTGCGCAGATGTTGCCCTATAACTCTGGAACATTCTGTGGTTATCAATTACATTCTGTGGTTATCAATTATCCGGTACACTCTTTTCAAACAAAGGCATCCCACGCATTCAACTTTTCAAAGCTCTTATTTTTTCAGCTTTTGAGAAGTTTCCTGGCAATAGGTAGCTGGGCACAGAAAGCAAAGAGCTAAATTTAATTTTTCTATCTCTCTGCATCGATGTGAAAAATGATGTCAGAGACAGAGAGAGAGAGAGAGAGAGAGAGAGAGAGAGAGAGAGAGAGAGAGAGAAAACCAGACAGATAAGGAGAAACAGAGAGAGACATAGAGGGTGATCTGAAAAACATGTTTACCTCCTGTGGATTGACATCGGCTGCAAAGGCTTCCCTTCTGGAGAGGTTCCCACATTGAAGAGAGGCAGCGAGAGACAGAGTAGGAGAGAGAATAAAAAAGACAGAGACAGACTGGCAGATTGAAGTTTTAGTCAAACAAACATTTTTTTAGAGGCAGAGCTGCTTTCATGGAGGAAGAAATCATCTCATTGGTTGAGCTGAACTTCAGTGGGTTTGAAGTTTTCTGGCTTACTGATCACATCTCGCTCTGAATTTGAGAGATGTTTTAATCAGAATAGGATAGAATAAAACATTAAAGGGTTTTTAAGAAGTGAGAAGTTGACTTGGTACACACAGAATATGCCTTTGCAACATAAAACTAAAATGGACACTGTGTGCCAGCAGAGATCCTGTACAACTTCCTGTACGACAGACTGTTTTCCTTTTCATTTCTATTGTTTACACATAGGCTTCCTTGCAACATGGTCTGCAAATGTTGTATTTGATTCATAGTACCACAAGCTAGCCAGATGTCTGCACCTTGCTGTGCCCCAGTCACAACTGTCCCAGAAAACACTGTGCTTTTGTTTTAGCTAGCTTTGTATTTGTTTAAGCACATTTTTTTCTGAGGTTTGAAGCTGCAGAATTTGGGTTATCTGTCACCAGTAATCCATTGTTCCATGTCTTTATAATAAAAGGGAAAAGTCTGGTTTGCTCTGGTCCGTTAAGATGCATTAAGATGTTAAAACACCAAAGTCCCACCAGAAAAATCGTCTTTGATCAGATAAACCAATCACGTCGTAGTGCCAGAAGGTTTTAAGTTTTCACCCTGTAAAACTGTTTCAATGTATCTGCAATATGGCCCCTAGTGCGTAGTTCTTCTCATTTCTAATTGCAACACAACTGCAGACCTTTTCTCCTGCTTTGTGCAGCCGCAGCAGACTCTTCTGTTTGATGCTCTGCAATAACTGGCAGTGAAAAACAGGTTGTTCAGGTTGTTATAGATAATAACCTGTGTATAATTACTGTCAGGCTTAAGCGGAATGACAGATTTGAAACATTTGAAACAGTGTTGAATGATAACTGGTCACGGATATCATATTTTGAAGCCTCTGTCTCCAGGTGCTATTTGACATACTCAGACACAGAGAAGAAAATATGGCCAAGAATGGAGGATGCTAAGACCATAATTGTGTAATTATCAACAGCTGCACTGGAAAAGTGACCAAATTAGGATCGTATAGTATACTCAAAAAAGTCTATGCATTTACAAAACTGAGTGTTCATGAGATTGAAAACATCTCCAGAATCAACAGCTCTTCATTCAATTGTCCATTACAGATACAATACAGTACGATGCGATACAATATAATATAATATGATACAGCACAATATGATAAGATACAGTACAACATGATACAGTACAATACGATACAGTACAATACAATATAATACAGTGCAATACGATACAATACAATATGATATGATACAGTACAATACGATACAATACAATATGATATGATACAGTACAATACGATACAATACGATACAGTACGATACAATACATTAAGATACAATACAATACAGTGCAATACGATAAGATACAGTGCAATACGATACAATAAGATACAGTACAGTATGATACAATAAGATACAGTACAGTATGATACAATAAGATACAGTACAGAACGATATGATACAATACCATACAATACAATATGATACTGTACAATATGATACAATAAGCAGTCCCTCCAGAAAAACGCGATTATGCGATCGCATAATTCAATGCATAATCAGCCAAAGTCCGCATATTTATGCAGGGGCCACATTTTTTCAAATACGCCGCACTTTTGCCGCATAAATTGCCAATTTCCGCGCAAAATATGAGGGGCTTGCATTTCATAATCCATGCATTTTCATTGCAAAAAAGTCACATATATCTTAGCAGAAAGTTAAAAATGTTGCGTTTACTTTACTCAAGAGCAGCCATTTTCCCCTGTTGCCATGGGAACGTTATAAAGTGACGTAATTACGCGACGTAAACATCATCGAAAAGCTGCAAACCCCGCGATGAAAACCTTACAGTTGTAAGTATATTAGTAGTATGTAAATTTACGTTACAGTAAGAGATTGCACTTTGTGCATTGGAAGCACTTATTTTAACAGAAGATGTCTGTTTTGTATAGCTACCTCTGTAAAACAGGAAGCACACATTTTATGTTTTTATATTTTATTTATTCATTTTTACACATGTTGTAGCATATTCCTTTTGTAAAGCTACAGAACTTGTTTGACTCATCAATGTTTTGTAAGTTTGAGCCATGTGTTAATTAAGGTCTGAAATAAAACAAGATGAGAACTTAAATATTCCCAGCACTTTCTGTGATGTAGTATGCTTGCTTATCATAGGAAGTGATAAGAAATGACTCTTTACATTAAGGTAGTAGCCTAGTGAGAACAGGGTGTTGGGGGAATCACTTTTTTTTTTCTTTTTCATCAAACCGCAGTTTTTGCAAGTTCCTGCAATTTTTGCAAATTCCCGCAATTTCATCGCATACAATTGCATAAATATCCCGCAAATTCCATAGAATTTTTTAAGAAACATGTCGCATAATCAAGGATTTTTGCCCGCAACAATCACAAAAAAACTATAAAACTGTATTTTTCTGGAAGGACTGAATAAGATCCAGTTCAGTATGATACGATACGAAACAGTACAATACCATACAGTATAATACGATGCAGTACGACACAACACAATATGCTGTAGTGTCCCCATAGGGAAATTTGTCTTGCATCCAGTGGCCGCCCCTTATTTTTGGTTATTGGCATTAAAAGCCCACTGTATCTCTGCTCTTTGGTGAGTACATTGTATGCACACATTTCAGAGATTTGGCCATAATTCTGGTTGTTTTTTTAATTTAGTTTTTACCTTTGGGGATAGAGGGATTCCTCTCTTTTGATATTGCTTCGCCCTGAAGAGCAGCTAAAACTTAAATCCACAAGAGATCAAAACAGGTTTCCAGTGTCTTGTCAGGCATAATAGAAGTTGTCAGTTCCAAGTTGCACCTCACCTCACCTCACAACTCAGAGTGCTACCCCATCCATCTGCACCGTGCTGTCTGCTCAATTCACTTTCTCCACTTATCAAACTGCAGACAGCCTGTTGAGCAGCACAGCACACATCTCAGTTAATTTTCTTCAAGAAAGTTTGTCCACAGCTGACCTTTTTTCTTTAAACTGCAGTTTCCTTTCCACGTAAAGTCATTTTCACAGTCATTAATGTCTTTTTAAGGCCTTGTTAATGAGTCAGGGGTCTAAAGAAATTGCAATGGTTTCCTTCTGTGTCTAATAAATTGGTAAAAATATAGTTTTACTCACACCTCATTGGGCAAAATGACAAATCAAACATTTTTTAACAGGGCTGTGTTTTCCGACAGCTCACATGATGCCTCGTTTTATTGCCTGATGGGAAAACCTCTTTATTGTGGCAACTTTAAGGAGAAAAAAACACATTACCAGAAAAAAACGAGCAAATACCAATACCATTTAACAATCATTATATGGGGATAACAGAAATATTCCTATGAGAACACAAGAAATAAGAAAGTTTTGAGAGTCGAGGCGAGCTGTCAGTTTCCAGTCGCTGGTGTATTAACGAGCAGACCAGCTGCTCGAGCATGTTGGGATTCCACACAGCGATGAAGTCAAGGTTTCTCTCATCCACCAAAGATGTCCCTCATCTCTTTGGTATGACTCTGGTTTTTTTAGGATTGCATCAGATTTCTCTCTCTCTGTCTGCGTCTATGTCTCTCTCTCTCTCTCTCTCTCTCTCTCTCTCTCTCTCTCTCTCTCTCGTCGTCTCTCTTTCTGCCTCAGGATTGTTAGACTGAGGATATGAGCTCATGAGTGGCAGGTCAGACAGTATGACGTGTGCAATACCCTCAGCTCTCTGTAGCTGTTTTATATATACCACTGATGTAACAGATAATAATAACATAATAGATAATAATACTCATTCCATTTCTTCATTTCTGCTGGGAGCCAAGTAGGTGGATTATTTCCCGATTTGTCATTAAAAACTCTCTTTTTCTTTTTCTTTCAGATGGTCACCACCTCTGGGAGACTGAGGCCAAGGTTGATAGAGACGCCTCAAAGTCTGTAAGTGATACATGTGACGCTGTTATCGTGACGAATCTGGTCTCATTTCAGGATTAAAGCACTGAAGCAGCTGTTCTCAATCATTTAACTAAGTGGCAAAACATTTTCAACGTTGACTTGTAAAAAACAAACTGATGTCTAAATCAAGTGAGCTGAGAGTGAACGGAGCTGATAATAACGAGTCTAGATCAACACTACGTCTGGACTTTTATTAAACCCTTTACTTTAAAGGGTCAGTTCACCCTAAATGCGAAAACAAACACATATTTATTTGTATATTGATCTCTAATAGTAGCCAAACATACATATATATAGATATATTTTAGACTGCTTCTGTTTCCCTGTTTTATCGTCTTTGTGCTAAGCTAGGCTAATCAGCTGCTGGCTGTAGCTTGTCGATTAGTGTCAATCTTCGTATCTAACTCTCAGCAATATAATACAATCACCTGAAAATTAGACTTTGTGTTTTTGTTACCCTAAAATGACTACAGAGGGAGCGGGGTCCTCTTCCACAGAGGCTGCCATGTTGAACCGCCATGTTTGTTACAGTAGGACAAACCAAACACTGGCTGTAGATCGGGGCGCCGTAGTTTCACGCTTGGAAGGCTGAGATGTGTTCAAATGGTTGCAGTCTGCAACTTCAGATGCCATTAAATCCTACAAACAAGGTGGTCTTCTCAAGCATATTAAGAGCACACACACACACAAATAGAAGAGTAACTATGATATGACTGTAGGTTTCCTCAGCCCGGGGGCAGAAGCCCTCGGGGGGAAACAGCAGTGTTGTGTTTGAAACGTGTGGAAAAGGTTTTCGAAAGTTCAACCTTCAACCTGTGGGAGTTTGCACTTGGCAGTGTGTCCTGTCTTGGCCTGTGACACAGAGAGAGAGAGAGAGAGAGAGAGAGAGAGAGAGAGAGAGAGAGAGAGAGAGAGATGTAGTGGTGGGAGTCTGGGAGATAGACGAGGGGATTAGAGGGTGTCTATATGTGAGGCACCGCACCTGCTCCCAGTGTCTTCCTATTGCACAACATACACACTTTCTCTCTCTCCCTCTTTCACACGCACACTCACAGACAGTGACTGCTGGGACACATCTGTCTGCTTGAATAGACAAAGGGCCTCCCTCCCTCCCTCCCTCCCCTCTCAGCCCAGTCTGCTGGATTGGTCCCATTTTAAACACTGATGCTGCCTTGGCCAGGTTTAACCTCTGCTGTTCCACCACAACAGACCAAACCACAAACACAGAATACTTCACTGCCTCCGTCACCTGCACACGCTGACCTTCCCCCAAGAGGGAGTTAGATGAAGGATTGATTTACTTTTAATTTCAAGAATTACTTACAATTAGATTCATCAGATTACTCATATAAACGCAGATAAATGGTCTTGCAGGTAGAGTCCAAAAATGCTCCTTCATGCTCAATTTGTCTCATTTTTCCTCCTCCCTTTTACATGAGACAAATTACTTGTGTCAGGTAAAAACATCTCAGTTCTAGTTTTGGTGATTTTCATGCTTTTTACACAAATTGAAGGTCCTCAGTGGGATTTTACAACACATGTGCACATAAAACTTTCAAAAATAAGTGAATGATTTCACTCTTGCATGTTATGGTTTCAAAACTAAGCCTGTGTTTTTTATTAATATCTGTAAATTGACATTTTGGACAAGCAGCAACGCAAGTGAAATGCTGCAAATATTCCGGTTCAACCTGGACACAGTTTACGCTGTGCAAATCCTGAACCGTTTCCAGAGTTTTTATCAGCTAATTCCATGAGGGACAGATGGATGGTGGTGAATAAGAGAAAAGGCCTCATCTGGCTTCACTTGACTTTACGACTGTAGTGATTTAATATAACGTTTGTCAGCTCTCACCTGTGCTTGTCAGGGGCAGCCGTCCTCCGACGCACAGTTTTGTAGACAGATGACTTCCTCCCTGGCTACTGAGGAGCACCTCCAACACACTCAGACATGTATATTCACAAACACACACACATATGGAGCTAATATGGCCACAGGCTGAACTCAACATGGTCGTCGCTCCTGGCCTTCGCTCTCTCTCTCTCTCTCCTCAGACAGCAGGAAGCTCTGCCGGGGAAATAAACTATCTGGACAATCCCGAGTTCAATTTATTCATATCAGCTGAGTGATTCACTGTGCAAACAACCACGGCTCTCTTTAACCTCACTTCATGGTCTCTTTGTGGCTCCCTCGTTTGGGATTACAACCAGATTTTCTGATTTTATCCACCGCCCAGAAAAACACACACAACTTCAGGCTATGGATTCAAAGGGAGGAAGATTAAGCGAAAACAAGAATGAGACAAAGATATAATACAAATAAATAGACAATGTTTCTGCATCTTAAACCACAAAAATGGTTCATTTAGCATTCATATCTGTGCTCTTGCAGTTCCTATAATGCACCAACTAATGCATTCATTCATCTAAATGAGATTTCTTTGCACATTTTACTGACTTTATGTATGAAAGTGACCAGCAAAAATCACCTATTTTGTTACTGACATTTGCAACCAGCTTTTTGTTTATGTTTAAGATAAGTTTAAATAACACTTTATTCATTCCCAAGGGACAAATTAAAAGTTACAGCAGCACCAGAAGCTAAAAGATAAAGATACAAAAAGTGTAAACAACATAAGCATAAAATAAACAAACTCGAACTGGATAAGATTACATTAAAGATAACTGCAGATACAAAATAAGTCAAGGAACGTATACAGTAAATAGAAATGACCATAAATCAAATTAGAAATCTTCATACAATACAATAAGCTAGGCATCAGCTCTTTGTTTACACAAACTATATGAATGCACGACTTCATTTCACTCATGTTTGCGACGTTTTCTTTCGTTGCAGAATTCACTCCTCGTTGAGATCCCTCCCTATCGCAACCAAAGGCTCTCCACTCCGGTCCACGTGAACTTCTACGTCTGCAACGGCAAGAGGAAAAGAAGCCAGTACCAGCGCTTCACCTACGTCCCCGCCAGTGGTAAAGCTCCTCCTCCTCATACACATTTACTACTTCTTAACTAACAGTGAGTGACCAGGTAACTTACAGATTGTGGTCAATACAATACAGTAGCTGCCAGCCAATCACTGCAGCTGATTAATGATATACAGCCTCTTTCACTGGAGTTTGGTCTTGGGTTGACGTTTGGTGAAAAGCCTGTCACCAGAGTGCTTCACAGACATTACATTTTCATACAAATGTAACACCAAAATAAGGAATAACCCACTTATTACCTCTAAGCACATCCTTGCTTATTCTGCATTTCTTTTACTCTCCTGTCATCACCGCAGCACTTCACCGCTCTCGGTTTTGCTCTCTGCCTTTCATATCCCAGACTAATTAGAAACATTTTTGCCAGCATTTTACATCTGAAGACGAGAACAAACAGTTTGTTTTCCCCCTTGTCTGGTGGTTTTGCTTGGGAGGAACAAAGCAATGCTATTATTCCTTCATTGTAAAAAGAGAAAAAAATCTATAAAATCTGTTCTTTTCCATACCTGTAGCTGCATGAATGCTGCAGTGACTGGGCACACAAGGGTGGGGAAGGGGCATGGGAAAAGCATGTTATTTGAATAGAGAACCTATTGCCAAGCTAAATATAAACACTGACCCACCAACTGAAATGTAAAAACCGCTGCTAATTGCACTCCGGGCTTGGAGTGAAAATCCAGTGGGTGGTTCAAAGCTGCGATTCAAGCGAACTGGCCCAGCCCTGTACGTGGGCGACGGAGAGCCCCACTGTGAAAGTGGAGCATTGTCCTCGGGATGCAGAGAGCGTAAGGGAGGGAGAGAGACTGGGGGGGACAGCTAGTCTGGTCAGTGTCTCCTAAAGGGCGAAAGTCTGTGTGAACAATATAATCTGCCAGTCTGCAAGAACCAGGAGAGAGTCAAGAAAAGTTTCAAACAAATGGGCCGAGTGGAAAAAAATTAAAGACTAAATTGTTCAATAATGAGATATATAATATATAGTTATATATAGTTTTTCCTGTATTTTAAATCACGTCACTTTAATTCTTTTTGAAGCAGCAGGTGTTGCAACAGCTCGTACAAAAACAACAGATTTATTTTTGGACCTGCATTACACGTGGCTGATTTTCACACTCCGGAAACCCGGGGGCACACTCTCTTTTGTGGTAGCACAAACATTTGCACTTCTTTCTGTGCATCTGCCTATCCGCCACAGGCAGACAGACACACTTCCTCCAAACGGGCCCAAAATAGGGGTGCATGTGCTATTTTGGTGCTGTGGTTGGTGTAACCATCTCATCGCAGTTCCTCTTTTACAGTTGTTGACAGTGAAGGCTTCACTAAGGCATGACGCGTCCTAGTTTCACTCTTTTTTCGTCAACTTAGCTCCTCATTCAGCCCGGTACAGATTAAAAATAACTTTTTAAAGCGGTTTCCCTAAGAAAGGGGAATCATGAAAAACTAAATGAACAACGTGTATCAGTAAAATATGAGAATAAGAATTGCAGAAAGTAGAATAAGGTCAAATGATTCACTGCGTCAGCTTCGATTTCAAGCACATGCTTCATATTATAATCTAAAACAGCTTCAGTGCAAAGAAAAGAAAGGAGTGGATCCAGTTTAGTGATGCAGTGATGAAGCTCGGGGTCAGAGCTGTGCTGTCGTTTGCTTGTAACTGGACTGAAACGCTTGTTATATAAGATGGATGTCGTGTCAGAAGCTGCGGCAGATTGACAGCCCACATATTTAAAACTTGGTGTCAGACATGTTTTACACTGGAATCTGGACGGGTGGCCAGGATGCTGGCGACTGAGAACAAGCCCTGCCTCATTTGAACTCTCGCTCGTACGATAACCACAATCCTCAAACACCCCGAAAGCGTCCATTTTGTCTTTTTCTGCTACATCTTGTGTTAAAAAGCAGCTTTCACGTTCAGTTAAACTTCTCCTCTTTGACTCAATGAGCGTGCAGTAATTTATTTTAAATTGCTGAACCCTGCTGAGCATGAAGCTGCTGTTACAGAAACATATTTCATATCGCACATTTAGTGGGTATTAGCACCAGAGCAGGATCCAAAGAAAATAGCCATTTTATTATAGAAGCAGCTGGATGTTTCTCATGTTGATGAGTCATCCACTTTTTTTTTTTTCCTGCTTTTTTCTACCATTTGAATATTTTCAGCAGGGTGGGAGAACTCAGGCCCAGACACAGAGTCTCATTGATGAGAGTGTTTGTTTGGCAGCGGGTATCCTAGCCACAAACCCACTCACTCACTCACACTTGCAGGAAGGTTGGAATATTTACTCATTTAGCTTTTCCTTCTGTTCTCCCTCCTCTTCTCTCAGTTCCAACAATAAAGACGGAGCCACATGACGACTACGACGCCCCTCTGGTGTGCAGCCAGCCCGGTCCCGGCCTGTCCTTGCACCCAAAGCAATACTTCCCCCCTCAAGTCATGACCCCGATGATGACCCCCGACCTCAGGCCGTGTGTGGTGGGCGGGGCTTACTCTGTCAGCCAGCCAAGATTGGCAACCAAGCCCTCCTCGCTGCCCTCCTCGTCCTCTCCGAGCACCAGCCCCAAACTGCACGACCTGTCGCCGTCGCCCTTCCCAAAGTGCCTCCCTGCCGCCCCAGCAGTCCAACACCCGGGCCAACAGTCCCCGATCTCGCACGTCTCCATCATCCAGGAGACACCCGGGCGCTACCAGCCGCCCAACCTCTACCCTCCCAGCAGCTGCTCCTCCTCTCCGACCTCGCAGCCCTCCACCCCGACTGACGCCCCTTTCTCTCCCACCCACTGCATGACACCAGGCAGCACCAGCCCAGGAGCTCAGCAGCACCCCAAAGTGCCAGAGAGGGGGCGGGCCTCCCTTCAGGAGGACGGCAGCCCCCCGACGCTCGCTGTCAGCATCAAACAAGAACCACAGGAGCTGGACCAGATGTACCTTGATGATGGTGAGTTTTTGTTATTATACAAAATGATGCTTTTATAACTCTCTAATCCAGAGTATGGAAACAATGATAATGTGAACACCCCATCCAAACTCCTAATTAACTAAACAAAAAGGTTTTATATCTGCAGCTGCTGATATTTGATCAGTATCATATGACTCACCGATCACTTTTCCAGGAGCTGAAACTTTTGGCCTTCAAAAGTCAGTCTGGAGCTTTTGTTTTGGAGCAAATCTCCTCAACCTTTTGTCATTTTGGGGAAAATTTAGTTTTCTTGTCAAGAATTAGATGAGAATACTGATACTGATAGTTAGCTTAGCTTAGCATAAAGGCTGGAAATGGGGAAACAGTGAGCCTGGCCCTGTCTGAAGGTAACAAAATCCTCCTACTAGCACCTTTAAAGTAACCTTTGAGCGGCATCTGGACTTGAAGAATCCATCTCGCCAGACTTCATTTTATGCGTTAAAGGCATGGATGTATTAAGACGAACTGGATCGGGCGTCGGGCTGCGTTCATTCCTCTGGAAGCTGCTCAGTGGCGCATGAAGCCAAAACTGTTTGAAATTGCAAATTACCCATCCACATGCTTCCACATTGTGCGGCTCATAGAGCAAACGGACAAGAGACTTTCGCCGGTCGAGACGCTAACTTTATCTATTTACTCTATGTAATAATGCGGCTCTTGTAGACTTTCCAAATGTTGTTGGACTGAATGGATTAAATTCAGATAGTTAAACGAGTCATTGCGCGAGGGCGTTGATGCTAAAAAACTATTATCCACCGTTTTACAGTGGTTTGGCCACTATGTCGAACCGGCTCCAGAGTCCAGCGCTCTTTCTGTGGGTTTGGTTTGTAGCCATACTACAGTGGTACTGGACCAGTCAGCATCCTTTGGAGGAGCTACTGGCAGGTGCTGTGGTGTGGGGCTGCCGAGAAGACAGCAGTGTCTCCCGTAGAGATTAGTGTAGATGCTGCTACCATCAGTTATAGGCAGTTATAGAGTGTTTCTTCATTAAAAGAAGAGCATAGAACGGCACTGAAGGTCTTTTTCCTAGATTAGAAAAGGTGTTTTCACTATTCTCCTGAAGAGTTTGATTATGTTATATGGTTCGTTGATTTGATTGGTTGAAATTTGCCCGTTATAGATGATGATAGGCAGACGTTTCATCCAATCACCTGCCAAGTATGTTTTTAAGGTTCCTGCCCTCGTCAAAAGCAGTTTCCAGCAACAACTTCCCACATAGTTCTGTGTAGCAAACCACCTGGCTCACTGAAAGCTCACTAATTAACATGTTATTATCTCGTTCCACACAAAATTTAAGCATAAAAACGACACATGCTTTCTTTGTATCTATAAACTCTCCGTAAGAAAGTATATTTTCAAAAATGTTATGTCAAGTAATTTCTCAATGCAGGACAAACAAACATTGCAACCCATTTGACCTATAAAGGCTGAAGAAAAGTTTTTTTGAGGGATGGAAAATCTAATCACACTAATTTATTGTAACTGAATTCAGCAGGGAGATCTATTCAGTAGGTGTTTCTGTTGGGTAACATGGTGACGTGTCTTTCTTGTGAAACTATGATATCACTGTTTATGTCAGTTATAGTATTTTGGTGTGGGAGTGATGACTGTGCCAAAAAGGTTTACCACTGCTGTTGCACGTCTTTAGACTTTATGTGAACAGAGGCTGTCAAAAGCATTTTTCAATATCTCTTTTCAAATTCTACTTTCCATTGCACTCAGCTTTCTTCTAACTTCTGAGGTAATTAGATCAAAGAAACCCGGTGGTCTAGTATTTGATATATACGACTTTAAACCCTAAATGTTACAAGCCTGCCTAAAGCTCGCTGACATAATAAATACAGTTTTTTTGTGACCCCCTTTATTTATCTCAGAGAGAGCAGGGTTTTAGGAGCACAAACTTTATGATCTCACTGCTCTGGCCCTCTGCGCTCACCGCTGAGGTTCGGGGGCCGTGCCCTCTGCGCTGCAGTGATTTGAAATAAATTGGATAAATGATCTTCCTCGAGGCAAGACCAAACAGTCCCTGGCTGTGTGCACGAGTCCTGTGGAGGAAAAGAAGTGAAATAGATGAAGAAACACTAACCAGCAGCTATCAGCGGACAGAGAAGCGGGGCTTTGATCTGACACCAGAGCCCCTGCTGAATCGTCTGGCCGAGCTTCCTGGCGATGGCGAGTGAGACGCTGTTGTCGGGCCGCAGACTGTAGGACTCAGACTGTTCCCGTACTACTTCCTCTGAACAGTCTGGGTAAATACATTAACACTTGTTAGCACTGTCTGCGGGGATATTTGGCAGGCTAGAGCAAAAAAGAAAGATTTGATTTTGTAATTATGCTCTTGCTGGTGCCGCAACTGCTCGTGTCTCTCGAGGATTTCTTTGTTTGAAACCAGGTGTAGTTAAAGTTAAATCTAAGTCTGTAAGTACGCCACCATAACCATAATGGATATGGAGGAGCTGGGCCTCCAATTACACTTGTTTTCACTGGCAAATTGAAGGAAATTTTACTAAGCATTCCAAACTTAATGTGGCTTCTCACTTCATTAAAACCTCTGGCAGAGTTTGATACGACTTTTTGCTTTATGGCCTCGCTCAGGTGTGATGTTACTGTAATTTTAACTCAAACCTGCGATATCTGAGAATTTTAGAGGAGCTGAGACACTGACTGTCATTAGCAGTATTCAGTGTTTTTGGGCTGTAATTGAGTATATAATGATCTGTACGTTGTTGCCAGCAGTCAAGGTTACTCATTGGCATTTATTTATTTAATGTAGCACGATTAAATTTAATTTCAGAACAATTTGACCTAAATGATTTAAGTGAATACTTAACCACTTATCCTGTCAAGTAACTGCAGTTATAAATTAAAGTCACACAGTCAGGTGTTTTGGATCTCCCAACCGGACTTTGCTGTTGCCCTCTTATCTTGAATCAGACCTGATATCTTTTCTCTGTTTGTTCAGCCCTCTCATATTCATCAGGATCCCTCTCTGTGACACATTTTTTCACACCGTCACAAACATGTCCGCTCATGGAAAGTCTGAATCGCGTTGTCTGCCCCCCCTAGCCGCATCTATAGACTGCAGCAGGGTGCACGGTCTGAGCTCCACTCGCTGCTGAGGCTGAGGGAGATGGAGGCCGGCCACGCCGCCATAAAACTTGCTGACTGGAGAGGTTTGCATGCTTCCCTTTGGCTCAGAGAGAGTCTGGAAGAGGCGGCCAAAGCCATACGTTATACTGCACAGTAGTGTGCCGAGGACTTTTGTCAGCGGTGAGGTAACATGAGCAAAACGTGCATTTCTAAGTCAGATCTGAGCCAAAAGGCATTACGAAATGTTTTTTTATGGCGTGTTGTGGCCTTGTTAGATGTCAGAACAGCACAATTGATGACCAGAGACTTTAGATGATCATAGGAAAAGTATTTGAGAGTGAACTTGTGACTAAAATTTGACTCTATCTGTCTGATTATATGCAATAAAACCTACTTCGCTTCTTCAAACTATTTGCAGCCACAGCTTCCAAAAAGAAGTAATGTTCATCGTTAGTTTGTAAGATCAGAGCGTAAAGGATTTTCACCCTGACTTTACACATTGCCACAATGAATTATCAGCTGTTCTTTTTATTAGTTTGTACTTAGCGTGGTACCTCATCATCGGTTTATCACATATTCTTCAGCATCCAACATCTGTTATGTATTACTTGTTGTCAGTTACAGTTATTGATGCATTTCTTAATACAATCAGTGGCCAGAAAAGAAAGAGGAAAAAAAAGCACCAGTATGATGTAATGCAGTGTAACAGCCCTGCAATTAAAAATGACCTCACTTTAAAAGTGTAGTTTTTGTAGAGACTACTTTCGTTTTACTCTCCTGCTTTAGGTATTTGTGTGTTGACTGCATGGTGGTGGACTGAATTAAAACTTTTCCACCTGATTTGAATATATGGAGGATCAGAAACACAGATTAATACAATCTGATACAACAACAACAAACACCACAGCCTCTATAATGTCCATAGAGTTTCATTTTATAGATCTTATTTGTTAGATTTTACTAAAACAATGCAGACAATCACTGTTACACTGATCCATGTTGAACCATCATGTTTCTACAGTAGCCCAGACGGCCTTCAAAGCCACCTTAGTTTCTTCGTTCTTCCTTAAAAATTCTGATTAAAACAACTAAACAAATATAAAACCACAGATAAATCATGTTTATACAAGTGTCGGTTTGTGTATTTATTGTACGTCGACAACAAAAACAGATTGTTTTGTTGTGCTGAGCCTTTTTCTTCTGGTTACTCAGTGTTTAAAGAACATTGTGGTAATATTTTGCTGACGTCTTTCTCCCTTTCTATTATTCTATTTTCTTGAGGCCTACAACATGCTATTGTCCAGACATTTTATTTTTAAATAATACCTGGGTTAAAAAAGAATTATTGGCAGAATCTGCGGTGAACTAGAGAACCGCTCTGTGGGACTGACTTGCAGTAACCCAGTAGGAGCCTCTTTATGTGGGCCAAGAACATCTCGTGGCTTGTGGCCTGGACTTGACGTGGCAGTAAACGGGGTGGCGGGTGGTGGTGGTGGTGGTGGTGGGGGGGGGTGTTTGTGGTGTTCTCTGCCCCCCAGCCTTTTTTCTCTCATTGTCCCACTGGTCCCTCAGCTGATTTATTCCCAGTGTTCAGAGGGAGTGTTGAATATCTCGCCGGCTGATCGGTTCCTCTGTAGTATTGTGTTATTGCAGGCCCGGATCATGTTGACGCGTTTCAGACCCTTGATGAGGCAAACAGCGCTGTCCTGCTAATTGTTTGGGAGTTCCTCGTTTGTCGGGGGTTTCCTGGTTCGAGAGCCGGGCTGTATCAGTCAGCTCCAGCTGCTGTGGACCTCCATGGGACAGGAAACCAGTTCCTGGATTACTTCACATCAAACCCCACCTTCCTCGTTCTTGAGCAACTGTAAAGTTTGAGACCAATTAATTCAACATCGCAGTGCCTTGTGTTGAATTAACAGCAATGCAGTGACGTTATTCGAAGACGTTTGTGGGTTTTATGTCATTATATTACATGCATGATTTAATAAACCACAAATAATACAGTATACTGCAAGTTCATTCAGTGGTTCCCAACCTAGTGGTTAAAGAACTAAGTGACATATTTTATAGATATTTCATATTATATGCAAAGCATAACAATCAATTAACCCAAATACTGAACACAACTACTGCACGGAACGTGTGCAAAGCATATTCCTGTGAATATTGTATTAGAGATAAGATTTCCTTTATAATTAACTGTATTATGTATTTCTTTTATTTTAAACAATCATACGTACTTAAACCCTCTTTTCGACAAATCATTGTGTTTCTTGTAATTTTCTATTAGATCCTTTGAGGCTGTTCAGCAGAGAGTGGGTTCAGGTCTTCACCGTGAACTTTCTTTCTCGTAGTTTATGTTTATAGCTTAAAGAATTCTCTAAACTTCAAAAATAACATTTTCATTTAGATTTCCTCACACAAATTAATAAAATACTGAGATATAGGCGTATCGTATTTGTTTCTTTCTTTCATCCCTTAAAATCAAGAAGGCCTCACAACCCCTTTAGTAGCTGCTCTGGAGCTTTTGATCATATCAATAACGGACTTTGAACCTCAGCTTTTAAGCCAACATGGATGAGACATCAGAAGCGTTTTTTTGACAACGTGGGTAAACTCCATCAGCTGATTAAGATCACGTGATATGATGGAAACCTCCAGATCAGTTATTAAATAGAGCTTGTTAAGATTGTTTCCTTACTATTATCGATTTATTATTTTAATCTCATCATATATTTTTACAAAAGTAGCGATCCCTACAGTGACACCTAAAGAAGTTATTTACTTTTCTTAAATTTTAGTAGCAGTTGAATCCAGTTATTTATTTCTGAATGACAAACAGTTTATTACCCCACTCCTGGTGTGAAGCGTCTCTGTCACTCGACTGTCTCGTCAGATCGATGTGACCAGAGAACACATGACACAGATGTCACACTGGTGCTGGGCCTATTTTAGTACTTTGTTGTAAACACACTTAGAGATCAATGGATTGACTTTTTTTTTTCAATTAGATCCTCCACATCAAATGTGACAGCCCAATGAAAAGTGGGCCATGGCAACAGACGCACAAACAGTGAATGTTGTGGCCTCAGTGGGACAAAAGATAAAGTTTTACTGGCTGGCCTTCTTTGTTTTATATCATAATAAACTACTGAATCTGACTGAATTCTGTCTTTTTACCTTTGCATTATTATGTGAAAGCTATCCCACCACATATGGCTCACGATGATGCGTAAGGAAAAATATCTGAAGGCCATAATTCACCCGTGATTTTGATAGTTAGCAGACAGCTGATGACATGATGTGGAGCTCTGACAATATCTTGATGTCCTAAATTTACAGCCGACGTCCAGGCTCGATGCGCGCGTTGAGAAGTCGGTGTAATAACTTCCCCTTGAGGTCTGAACTCAAAGATTATATCCTTCCACCTCCAGATGCGCAGAAGGTCAAAGCCAGATCAAATAGAGGAGAGGAGGTCAGTCAGTTCAGTCTGGGCCGGGGAAGAGCACACATGGCAGCGGAACGACACGCTGTAGCAGGGTGGAGATGAGGTTTGAGTGTTTATTTCTTCTGGTTCAACTATGTCTTTTGGTAATATTGGTCATATTCTCACATTCACATGGTTGGTGGCTGATGATGAGCTCTGGTAGAAAGCATCTTGCATTACCGTATACACAGAAAAATAGACCATTGTAATCCTACTGTTACCATAACAGAGGTGCTACTGATCCTGATGAAAGTGACGCTAAAGTCTCCGGGAGTTTAGGTTTAATTCACTCAAGTCAAGCCTCATTTAAGGAGAAGAATTCATTCTCTTAATGCACTCCACATGAATATCAAACAGATGAGTTTACACATTTGTCTGTGATGTATTACGCAGCTAAAATAAAGGTCAAAACCTTTGCCTGTTTTAGCCCATTACCTGTAAAACACAAATAGAAAGTTTCCAGATTTTTCTACCTTCTGTCTCAGTACACAAGCAGTATCAACTTGCAGGGACCTGAAACTTATTTGAGATTGTTAATTCATCATAATTATCAACTTGTCCCCTTTATCCATTAATTAAAGTTCCATTATTGTTGCACGAAATGTCAGTCTCACTTGAGAGTCAGTTGCCGAAAAACAAAACCGTTATGCTTTAATACAGTCTTTGCTCACAGCGGCATTATCACACATAGTGCAGCTAACTCCAAGTTGATTTTGATGCTTTATTGGAAATACTATAAACTGCCTGAAACCTGGAAAAGTAACAGAGAAACTTGGTATATGATACATAAGATGTGGTAAGTGGGATAAGACATGCAAAACCACCGGGTTGGTCCTTTAAACTCCAGATTAGTATTGCACATTCGTAAAGTTTTTGGGGGCCTCACAAGAGATTTGAGAAAGAATGGCCTAAATCGAAGCAGCAGAGCCCGAGATGTTTTGACTTATTACTCCCTCGTATGTGTCGAGCTCCAAAATCCTACAATTCCCACAATGCAACCAATAGCATAATTTTTGTTTGACGTTCTCTGTCAGTCTTTCAAACCCCTTATCCTAGTTTATAACACAGGCTTATAGAAAGCTCCCTCCAGGACCACATTATACAACTGTTTTCACCAACACATTCTCGCTCCCAGCTCGTCAAATACTGCAGCTGGGTCAGTGACCCACTTCAAAATGTGATGCTGTAGCTGCCCCTCGTCCGCCATTTTCTGGACCTGCAGGGTCCCACAGTCACGTTAGCAACAATTACTGTGCGATATCGGCAACTTCTGGGCAAGTTAGGAATAATAAATGTGCAACGTCTGGTTGCATTTTCAAAATAAAGCTTGTTATGTGTTAACATTATGAATTTCTTGTTGTTTGGTTCGGTTTACACAGCAACAGCTGAGAAACAAGCCAAATATTCCTTAATATAATCAAATTCTCTTGTATTGAGCAAAAATATCTGCCATTGGGTTAAGACAGTTTTGCTTGGCTAAAATTCCTAAATCTAGCATAAAAGTCCGGCCACTGAAAGATTGTAATGGGCCGAAGTTTTTATTCGAGCAATGAAAATTTAGTTATTTAAGACAGACTTTATTATAATAAATATTTTGCTGACTTTATTGAGCTGAATTTAAGTATTTGTACGTTAATCCAAGATTAATAAGAGACACAATTAATTAGACACAATTACTTTAAACAACATAATAAAAAACGTGACTGTCTTAAATTAAAACAATGAAAAACTAAACATCTGCTACTTTTACAACACTGTTCTCTTAAACTGAGATATTGTGCGAGTGGTCTTACTCTTAAATTAAGGAAAATAATCCTCTGCTGGGATATTATGCAAACCACTGTTGTAACTGGTAACTGGTTAAATCTAGCTCAGTATTAGCTGTTATAGATGAATTAACAAGATTATTTTTCTTTTTAGACAAAAAATAAGACTAATTTCTCATCATTTTTACTTTCTTGAGAGTCCTTTTTTGCAGTGTAGGCCAATAAAACTACTTGGTTAGGATTAGGAAACATTACTTAAGTACATGAATAAAACGTAACTGTTACTTCAGAGAAATTGTTTACTTTTTGAGTTTCACATGGGACACAAACAGCGGCTTCCTGGGGGAGCGGAGGGCCCCTGACAGAGCGGCAGTGTTTGACAACGTGGGAGTAAGACTGGGTTGCTTTTCACATGCTGAGTTTTACTCCTCCTGATGAGTAAACTGACTTTTTTATGTGTAAAACTGGCGGAGCGCCCCTTTAAGAGTAATCCTTTAAACACGGAGGATGAGTATATCCTTTTTTGGCCCTCCGTTAAATCCAGAGGAAGTGATTCAGAGCACCTGAATATAAATGTCACTGCTGTCTTGACAAGAATCTTCCACGCTGCCAAATCCTTGACAAAGACATATTGCTGCGAATCTCACCCTGTCCTCATAGTCGCATAATAGGTTCAGTGTGTTTTTGTGACACACTCATGTGAGTTCGCTGCTGTGACTGTAGTTATCAAACCTCTCAAGAGATTCTTCCTGTTCCTTTATTCATAGCAGTCGATCAGTGAGCCAAACACATTAACCTCATGTCTAGACGAGTGTAACGTATCGCTCTGTGCTCTGTAATTGTAAACAGCTTCAAGTCAATTTGGCTGATTCGTTGTTCAGAAACCAAGTTTTGGACACACACATTAGTTGGAATATTTTTTTTATTACCTTATGTGATAGTCACACATTTATATGTTTGTGTTTTTTTTTTACCATGGCAGCCACCTGCACACTTCCAGACAGCTGGGGTTTTTCTGTGTGTGTGCGTGGAATTGTTGCGAGGCACGTACACCCCATTATCTTCTCTGTGATAGGAAGTGAGTGGTATTTCTGGTAGGAAGTGGCTGTGCCAGTGCTGGGTCACCGAGGGAAGGGCTGCTCTGCTGCCTGCGATGAAAATAAACATTTATTAAAAAAAAAAGAAGTAATTCCATTGTGTGGAGGGGAATCTCAGGTTTCCAGGCTGCTTTTCCAGTCAGTCAAAGGGAATTCCTCCCTCGGTCTGCTGGCTCGGGTTCTCGGGGGCTGGCTCCAGGGGTGTTCCCCTTCCCGCCGCACATTTCTCATCCTTGTGAGAGCTGAGTAAGGGGTCGGATGCTGAACCTGGACCCTGATTATAAAAGTGAAAATCTGATTAGAGAGGGAGGAACTGTGGAGACTATCTCTTCAAAAGTTATAAACGAGTTCACAGATAAGAACGGTGAAAGCTGATGAAAAATGAACCGTCTCAGTCGCCTTTAGGATAAAAAAAAAAGAGTGATTTGTCATTTTCTGTGTTATCAGTACGTTGATATCTATATATTTCCCTGGTTTAGCTTCAGCCTGCCTGCTCAGTTGCTCTTGGATCATCACCCCCTCCGTCAGCCAAAGAACACAGCTGATAAAAACAGATAAACAAGTGCACCTGGATCCTTTAGAGACAGCAGGAGGTTGCATCATCTCTCTTGATAAAAAAAAAAAAAAAAAAAAAGGTCTGGGGATCTCAGATATAGAGTGATTCTATTAGGTTGGCTCAGAGGAAATAACAGGTCCTATAGAGCTCAGAGAATTGTATTTATTGTAGCTAAAAAAGGTACCTTAAAGCTGCACTAATAAATATTTTTATTTTTATATTAACAATGTCACTATGTGTAATGTGAAAGGTGTCACTTGTAGTGATGAAACCACAAAGAATCCTTTATCTCTGCAGATCCCCTCAGTTCTGTGGAGCGTCTTCCATCTTCCTGTTTTGGTTCAGTCTCACCGCTTTTATCAGCGTAGTTTCCAGCAGCATGTGGCAGCTATTTACAGCCAAATCTCTGACTAAATGGTTCCCGACATAGATAGAAACTTGGGATCTTATTTCTGAAAAAAATATGTGTGCTAGTTAACGATAAATAATCTTTTGATCCCGTCTGAATTGAGCCATGAACTACACATATGATGTTTGTCAAGTTAAAACCCAAAAGTCACACGAATGACTCATGCTAGCCCTTACAGTCTCCTTTTGCAGGGCTGCAAACAGGAAGACTACCTGTGGCATCCCTCGTTATAAACACATATGTGTAATTCATGGCACAGTTTGAATGAGATCAAAAGATTATTTCTCTCGTAACTGATACCGTACCGTCCAACATACGTTCTCATTGTGGAGACACCAGAAGGGGAGGGACTTTAATGCCTCTCTTTAATGATATGTCAGTGTTGTGTTTACAGTTTGTTGCACTGCCAGAAACATCAGTTTATGCAGGTTTAAGCTCTTTTTAAAGGCCCTGAAAACTGTACATCATATATTCATGAATATAAGCCAACTAAGCAAGTTTGGAAAAATAACTGCCTTTTTTTATTATTTTTTGGGGTTTAAAGTTGGATGGGGCTTCGAGCTGAGCTGCTGCTAACGTTAGGTCAGCTTGTTCCTCTGATAACTTAAGATCCAGACGTCTGATGACTAAAATCCTTCATCCAGTTAAAAACAACCCAGATCTAAACAGTCTATGATAAAAATGTCCGCATGCACAAAGGGGATGTGATGCCATTGACAGACGACCTGTGGAACTCACCGTTACCTGAATAAAATGACAGATTTCTCCGAGTTTGAACATTGTTGGAAACATTTGGGATAATTTAAGTACACAGCTCAATAAAGTATAGTGTTTATAGACATTTTAAATGTGTAAATATTGCATGTAATATCTTTAATACTCAGCTGATAAACTCCATCAGGACTGTGTGTGTGGGTTTGATTGTCCTGGAAACCACAAGTTAACAACTCAGTCATCAGTTTTTGATTCAAACATTTTTAAATTCTGACTCTGCAAGAAAATATCTGACATCACCTTTTTCCCATCCCCACATCCCTAATCTCTAATGTGTGTAATGTAACATCAGCACAAAATGTGATGCTAATTACATCTTTAAAGATATTACATTCAACATTACACTGCACATGCACACACAGTCTGCATGATGACGTTACTCCATGTGACCTCGTAAAGTAGCGTCTCACATACTGATCATCCTTTTCTCTCTTTTTCCTTTGCAGTCAACGAGATCATCAGGAACGACCTGTCAAGCATCTCCGTCCACAGCCACGCGTAGTTTCCCGTCAACCACCAAAACTGACACAGAAAACCAAAACAAAGGGAGACACCAAACACAAATCTGACACTATGCTTTTCATGCTTGGACTACAGCATGCAGGAAGCAGCAGAAGGAAATGCAAGGAGAACAAATGTAAATTTATTGTCCAGATGACCAGGGTCCAACGTGTGCCTTGTTTTTCATATAAAAAGCCTTTACACAGAAATTATCCAAGGAGTACATCACATGACTGACTTTTTTTAAGACATGTAAATTGAGTATGTAGCAACAAACCTGCCATCCCGAACCCCCCACAACAAAGTATGCTTTTAGAGGACCAAAGGTTGTTTTATATGTCTTTTTTGCTGCAGTTTGTAAATGATTCGGTGCCTATGAGTTATGTAATTTGTATATACAGTATCTGTAGTGCTTCAGTTTGCATATCGGGCTTTACAGAGACAGTTTAGAAGAGAAGTGCCTTTTTTGACTGGAAACAGAAATATGTGGCCTGGGTTTGGTTCAGTAATCTTTAAAAGCGAGATAATGTAACATTTGCTGAATAGTGGCTACTGTGGTTACAAATAATAATTAAAGACAGTTTAGCACAAATAGAAAATGATCATAAGGTCAGCAAACTGACAAAGAAATGTCTGTTACACAGTAATATCTATTAAAAAACGTTAGCTGACATTAGCCACCAAAAGCTACTGGTCATACCAGAACAAATGAGGCTTTAACAACAAAACATTGAATTGATCAGGGGGGAGTTTTATTTCCTTTTAAAGTAAACTTTTAATTTGTAAAAGGAAGAATGTGTTATTTCTTCTTTTAAAAGTTGCATAGTCTCACTTTAAATCACATTTGGTTAGTATGTCTGTATGGGCATTTTGCTTGGACAAAAATAAATCAAGAAGAATTAAAATTGAATACATTTTCTGTATTCACAGCCAACAATAAGCACTTAACCACTTAACCTGTGGTATTACTTGTGGTTGTTCCATTAAGACAAGTTACTCTCACTTGAAGTCACGCAACAATGGCTAAACTGTCCAGATGATAAGTTACCCAAACCTCATAGAGTTAGAAATGTCTTAATGCACTCTTACAGCACAGAGTCACAGAACAAGGAGTCGTTTTGTGTCGATTTTTTAAATAAAAAATAACTGACTTGAAAATAACGTGAACTTTGGAGTAAAATGTTGGCTACAGTAACACAGGTTTTCACTTTTATCAAAGAAGAAATCATCTCAGTTTTGACGAAGCTTGACTTTTATTTTTACCTGGAAGCTATGCAACATGCAGGTAGCGTTTAGTCTCTGAAAGAATGTAAACATGCACAGTTGTAACGGAGAAGGTCTCTAATCCAAAGAATACTTAACAACGGTGAACAGCAATACAAATATATAAATTCTTTAATGTTTGTTTTTGTATTTTCATATTTATTCTCTTCGCATGTGCTCTGTTTATTCATGTTTATCATACAGCTTCTTCTACATGCTTTTACCTACATACTGTGGTTAATCTACTAATTTGTTTGCGCTCTTATAGCAAAACTGAATGGGCTTAAACCCTTGTTCCCAGTTTTATATGTATTTATGAGTCTTAATCCTTGTAAGGGCATGAAAGAAGCCATACTGAAATGTTTACCGAGGAGGTTATTGTTAGTCTACAACTCATATTTCTGCTTTGTGATCTTTTTTTTTTGTGTATTTGTCAATAAATAAGCCTTCATCTCTTTAATCTGAATGATCTGTGTCTTACTGTAGACAGGACATGAAATCAGTCAATACATTCTCTGATATACTCAGATCAGATCATAAAACTTTTCTTCCTACAGTTGATTGTTTGATCTTCACTGTGCAGGATGATGTATGTGCAGGGTTTGACACTAGAACGATGTTTTCACATTCACCTGCTGAAAGTGGAAAGTTTCTCTGTGCTCATTGAGAATCCGGATTTTAAGGGGGCGGGGCCTACGAGCGTAAATTGTGACATCACAAATAGTTTGGAAGTCAAACCTGGTCCAGTTTGCAACTTATACAAGTGTGATGTAGAAACTTGAAGCTACTAGAGCACATACACTAAGGCCCTTTTTACACAACAATGATTTTTGCATGAAATGGTAAACTTGTGGCAACGCCGTTTTGGGGGCCTGAAAAGGGCAAGCGTTTGAAACCAGGTCCCACAGTGCAATGTTTTGCAAACACCACCGTTACTGTTGCTGTGTAAACTGCCATAATTAAGACACAGCCCAGCGTCGCTCATGACTATTACGTTTTCAGTCAAATAGAAGAACAAAAATAACAATATCGAGCTGTGTTTGTGTTTATAAACGCTCCTCCAGCAAAGTGTAGAGTTACTGCACCATTACTGTGATCAGCAGAGACGCATTAATTGCATAACAAAGTAAAAAAAACAAAGTTACAGCGCCACCTACTGGTCTGTCATGCATACTACAACTTCAATCATTTTTCAGATCTGTGTGCATGAGGATCGTTTTCACAGCGTGTTTGTATGAATGCTGAACTTTGGATTTCAGCAAAGCGATTGTGTAAGCATGGCCTAAGAATGGACTCTACAGTGAGGTATGGGACATCTTGTCTCCAGTAGGAAAACTTCAAGAGATCAAAACAGAACAAAATGTTCATAGTTTCTGTAATTTAAGATAAGGTAGAAGGAGTAAATGTATTTTTTACAGATATGAATGTGGAAAAAACACATCAGACACACATTATTGTACCAAGCAGATCATTTTTATACATCTCTGTCTTAATACATGTCTGGAAAGGATCCTTAATTTAAGTCAACTTAATATTATTGTTCTTTTTCACACTGTAATACAGATGTCAAATAGAGCTTTGGATCTCCACCCTTGCAGGTAATATCATGTAGAGAATCTCTATGATTAAAAATGTAGCTTGTAACATACACTAAGCAACCAAACAGCAAAAAGAGACCCAGCACTTTACTATTTGATACCACCAGGAGAGAAAAACTCCACTGACAAAGAATTTCACACTTGCTTTGTGCATGCAAGCTTGTTTCCACCGTAGCTTTAAAGCAGAAATCAATCTCACATCCATTAAACCCCCCAACCATCACAAACACAGCATCTTACTCTTCCCTGCATCCACAGAGGTCACTCTCTCTCTCTCTCTCTCTCTCTCTGCAGATCTATATTAGTGTAATTAAAGCTAAAAGAAAACGTTAATTTCACAACACTGTCACACATCGATCACTCCAGTGAGAATAAATCAGTCAGTTTTAACATCTACTGTTTCACAAGCCTTTATTTTTATTATGTAATATTACTTTTCAAGGCTTCTCCTCTGCAGTGTGAGCTGTTACACTGACACCCTGTGGTCTGCATGATTTATGCTGGTTTGTACACATGAATGAATGATTTTTTTATACCCTATAGTGTAATCTATAATATAGGGAAATCAGGATGTGTTGGAGTCACAGTTTGTTGTTTTTGCTTGTTCCACCTCTCACCTGTCTCATGTCCATTAGGAAAATCAGGACTTATCTTTACTCAGTGAGTCGATTATTCTGCCGGTCATTCTTTGGTGACAGCCGAGCAGCAACTGAATACACCTGGTAAGTGCTGACTTCACGAGGGTTGGATGTTACATTATATATGACTGTAAGTTTAATTGACAGCTCAGAGAACTCATTGGTTGGTTAATTGAACTTAATTTAAAATAAAAAAAAACATTATTTCACTGGAAGAAATGTCTGTTATCAGGTTTCTTTTAAACCAATTAATGCATTTTAGAGAATATTTTTTCTGGTCTGTTTTTTGAGTTCCAAGATCCTAGTGTATAGGGTTTTTCTAAATAACTTTATTTGTACTGGAAAAAGTTTGAATTATTAGTGCATTGGTGCATTTTTATTACTTATTAGAAGAGAATGAGCTCAAGTTGCATACGATCAAATCAGTTTTCTGACAGAATTACAAGGTCAAACACTTTTAGACATGACTGAAGTCAATGTTTATGAATTTTACAGTTTGTCTCTTTGTATTTATCTGATATTTCTAATCTCCAGCAGCAGCTTATCTCAGATGATTTGATTTCGGCTGTGCACACCAGTCCAGTAAGATGGAGGTTTTATTCAGCAATGTCACCGTCAACTCCAGCAAACATGAGGCCTGTGAGCTCGGACCGGGCTATTTAGTGGGTCGCGCACTGATTGATATCCTTCCTCAGCTCCTGGGACAACCAGTGATCATGAAACTGCTGTTGGCCGCCTTCATGTCAAAGAAGACAATAGATATCCTGAATTTTAATTTGGCCCTCTTCCACAACTTGCAGTACTTGATATCCATTTTACATTTAAGTGTCCTGTTTTTGTATCCAATCATCCAGATAAAAATACTCAAGTTTTTGTTAGTGTATGCACAAATCGGAGGCCCGATGAGTCTGTCTTTTATCTGCATGGAGAGATACATTGCTGTGATTCACCCAACGTCTTATCCTCTGCTGAAGACATACAGAGTCAGGGAGGTTTGTGCTGTGACAGTTTGGCTCTTTTCCGTGCCCATGGCTTTTGCAAATATTTTAGATATTGAGACTCTCACCCCTTACACAGAGGAAGCATTCAAAATGATCCCAGTGTTTGTGTTGCCGCTTATGACTGTGATGATGGTGCGGTCCAGTGTCAGCATTGCGAGGACGCTGAAGAAGTCCGGCCCAGGGCAAGGCAAACTGCACCCTGTTAAGAAGAGAGCCTTTAAAACTGTTCTTGCCACTTCATACATCACTTTGTTTTTTTACACTCCGGTTACTACACTGCAAAGGTTTATGGTATTTGATGCAGATACATATAACTGCCTGGTGACACCTCTATGTATATTTTTGTTATCTGTTGCAAGTGTTGTGCATCCAATGTTTTACCTTCACGCCCAGGGGAAGTTGTTCAACTTCTTAGAGAAAGCCAGATGATTTTTGTCTTTCAGTTTTCTTCTACTGATATGAATAACAAATCTGACAGTGCTTCACAACATTCCCATCACTTGAATTTTGAGTTAAGCTGATTTACATGAATGCAAACAAACTCATGGACTCTTAGATAATCACAGTGAGTGGATTTAATATTCATTCTTTGACAGAGAAATGATCTCATTGGTTGTGTTAAACTTTCCATGACTGATTTTGTAGGTTTCTGCCTCCAATGCCAAAATGTAAATTATTATGGAAAATATGATGATAGTATCTTATGAAAATGAAATGTAAATTAGATTTGTGTTGAGAGAGTGTTTCTTTTGCATTCAACTGTATGTCTATGTTGATGAAAATAATGTTTGTTTGTTTGTTTGTTTGCTGTATATTATAGAAAATCAGACTTTTACAATTTGATGGTTTCATGCTGAGCTGTAGGCACACCATCAGACTTTGTCCTTGCATTTAAATACACCATATGTCCATAACTATGTGGCCTCCTCTTTCTTTATACTTTTGTGTATACTTTTAGTGAAAGGCTGTTTTTATGCCATTTAGGTACCCTCTTATTGCTACAGCATAAAGTTATATTTTAGACAATAGTTTGTAATGTTGTGGCAATAGTTTATATGGGTGTACCTGTGACAAAATCAGAAAGTTTTCCAAAGTTTGCTGTGGAAGAACTCGACTGGCCTGCACAGAGCCGTCACCTCAACCCCATCTAACACCTCTGGGATGAACTGGAACAAACCAGGCCTCATCGCCAAATGTATCCCTGCAACGTGGTTCCAAAATGTTATAGGGATTCTTACAGAAGAGTGGAGGCTGTTAAAGCAGCAGATTAATGCTCATGGTTTTAGAGTGAGATATTATACACTTGCATGTGTACATACTTTTCCACATACTTTTGGCCATATACTGTATTGTCAGTATTGTACATTTTAAAATGCATCAACCACTACAGCCCTACTCTGGTGGGCGGAGCTATGCTGGGAATTTAGTGTTGTCACAAACTCTGTGTAAGAATATCCCTTTAACGAAGTAAAACAAACAAACAAAAGAACATACAAACCACAATAAGTTATTCTGCCTTATCTCGTGCAGCAAAGCACCAGGGAAGATGGAAATGTCAGTCAAGTGTAGTTTGCAAACGTCCACAGAGACATCAGAAGTCGGATCAGGCAAATTAGGGGAAAACACCTGTGTAGGTGGACTGAGGCTACGTAGGGGCTCTAAACAAAACAACAACCAGTCATTTGAATATTTTGACGTGTGTTTGTAATGAAAACATATCTTGTTTAATTACTTACTAACTTTATTTATTCAAAGAAAGACAAAAGTGGTCAATGTTGCTTTCTGAAAAACACTATCTGTTACCTGATTGTCCAGTTTGTGTCCAGTGAGGTCAACATAAAGACAACAGGTGCGTAAATGGGATTATATCTTTATAGTGTAATGTGACATCACAAAAAGAAAAAATAAATGTGATTGCAGAATTATTATATTACAAACATTCATTTCAACTTATTTAAATACATTTTTCTACAAACTGTACTAGTCCAATATTTTTTACTCTCAATATAAACAGAAAGGCACACAACACCTTAAGCAGAATAAACAACCAAATAAACAAATCTAAGACTTGAAGGCAAGCACTCATAAGTGAGTGATGCTTATTGGTCAATTCAAGGAAAAAAGATGTAACAAAAAGGGCAATAAGTTGCTTTATCCCTAATAATTGCCCCTGCACACATACAGCTGTCAGGGTAGATTTATACAACCCAAACTGTATCTATT